TCATGTGCCGAGCGTTCTTGTCCACCCTGGATGGAGCGGCCCAAGACTGGTTCAACACCATCCCAGATGGGTCGATCCAAAACTTTGGGGAGTTGTCCAAGAGCTTCCTAACATACTTCTCCGGAAGCATACAACGTAAGAAACCTTTCTCTCACCTCTGTGTAGTGAAGCAAGATAGAGGCGAGAGCCTAAAAAACTTCCTGATCAAATGGAAAAAGGAAGTCAATAATGTCTACGACTTCGACTCCAAGGCGGCGATCCCAATATTTATCCATGCCTTAAGATCAGGGTATTTCCACAAGCAGCTGAACGCCCACCACCCCCGTTCTTACGAAGATTTGATGAGGACGGCTAGCCACTATGCCGAGGCAGAGGACGTCGACAAGAAAAAGAAAGATGAGGAGGACGACAGGAAAAACGGGAAACCTGGGAAAGCTGGTCCGCCCAGCCAGGCACCACTCTCGAACCACCCGACCGCAGGGAAGGACCGAGACTACGAACGACCTCGCCTGGTCCCCTTGCGTAATTTAACTCCTCTTACCCATCCCGTAAGTGTCATTCTAAAGCAAGCTGAGGAGATGGGAATGGTAGAATTCCCCGAGGAGTGCATGAAGGTCTCCCTAAAGGCAGACCAAACAAAGTACTGCAGGTTTCATAGGCATGCCGGACACGATACGGATGAGTGTCACATTTTGAAGAGACAAATAGAAGATCTCATCCAGCAGGGCTACTTCCGACATTTCGTCAAGCGATCCAAGCAGCAGCAACAGCCGCAACACAATCCACAAAAAAATGTCTGGATGAATGAGGATGGCACCGAGCCGTCCACCTCAAACGCCAAAAAAAGAGACCACGACCAAATATCTGAGCAGAGTGATAGCGAGAAAGAAACTGAGGTGGCGCCCAGACGACAAAAGAAGCACACCATACACTTTATCTATGGTGGACCCACAGGGGGCGACACGCCCGCAGAAAGAAAGAAGTGGAGCCGACAGATATACGTGGGAGAAGTGGCGAGTCTTCCTAGAGAAAAGAAACAGAGACAGGAGGCCATCACCTTCTCTAATGATGACCTCCCAGAGGGCCCGCTACCCCATCGTGACGCACTGGTGATTGAGATGGACGTCAACGATGTCATTATCCGCCGCATCTTAGTCGACACGGGAAGCTCAGTCAATGTGATGTATTACGATGCCTTCACCAAGTTAGGGATACCTAGGAACCAGCTCAAAGAAGTACGTACCCCACTCTCTGGATTTACGGGTGATTCAGTGGAGACGGAGGGGTCGATGGCCTTACCAGTAGAGATAGGCACGAGCCCTAACATTCGCAAACTTGACATGGAATTCATCGTGGTAAGACTCACTTATGCGCACAACATCATTTTGGGGAGGCCGGCACTGGAGGACCTCAAGGCCATAGTGTCGGTGGAACACTTGTGTATGAAGTTCCCTACTCCGAATGGGATAAGGGTCGTCAGAGGAAACCAGCGAGCAGCCCGCAGTTGTTACGTAAAAGCATGCAAAAAGATTGGCGGAAAGAATCCACAAGTCCACACCATTTTCAAGGATGATCGATCGGGTACGGAACTCAGAAAATTTAATTAGATATTATCAGTAATACGATGTAGTCGTGGCCCGCCCAGACCTGTAAACAATATTTAGTAATCATGGTCCGCCCAGGTTACTTCGCTCTCAAATAAAAAGGGTTTCAAAACTACATTCAATCAACCACGGCCGTCACTACACTCGATAAAAAAAAAAAAGGCCGAGGCGCGGCGCCTCGATAAAAAAAACAAATAAATAAATAAAAAGGGGGGTCGGGCAACGTCTCAGCCACTCCTGGTCGAGGCGACGCCTCGGCCACTCGAAAAAAAAAAAAAAAAAAAAAAAAAGGGGGTCGAGGCGCACGCCTCAGCCAAGTGGCTGAGGCGACTCCTCGGCCACTCGAAAAAAAAAAAAAAAAAAAAGGTCGAGGCGACGCCTCAGCCACATGGCCGGGGCACACGCCTCGGCCAGATGGCTGAGGTCGCGCCTCAGCCCAAGGCCGAGGTGCACGCCTCGGCCTCCTGGTCAAGGCGACGCCTTGGCTAGATGGCCGAGATAGCGCCTCGGCTGAGGCCGCGCCTCAGCCCAAGGCCGAGGCGCACGCCTCGGCCTCCTGGTCGAGGCGACACCTCGGCCACTCGAAAAAAAAAGTGGTCAAGGCGCACACCGCGGCCAAGTGGCCGGGGCACACGCCTCGGCCACTCAAAAAAAAAAAAAAAAAGGCGTCGAGGAGCACGGCTCGGCCAAGTGGCCGAGGCGACGCCTCATCCACATGGTCGGGGCGCACGGCTCGGCCAAGTGGCTGAGGCGACGCCCCAGCCACCCGGCCGAGGCGCACGCCTCGGCCAAGTGCGCCTCTCGGCCGTGACCGAAGCGCAGTGCCTCGGCCACAAAGCGAGGCACCCGCCTCAGCCAGGCTGAGGCGGCGCCCCAACCCGAAGCCGGCCCACTCCGCAAAAAAAAAAAAAAAAAAAAAAAAAGTAATGTTAAACCGCAGAAACCGACGGATGGTGACAAGAGCTGATAGAAAGGTGCTCAAATTGCTTAGGCAGGAAGAGATCTGGAAAACAAAATCGCATATCCTAACTCAATCAGGATGGCACAGTATCACGATTGATTCAGCCTTACTCCCAAGTCAACTCAAACACATTCGTAGACTCAGAAGTAGGGGGGACTGGTGACAGGATAATAGGGCTAGCACCCGACCCGGATCATAAGTGTGCATCTGACCCGGCACCATAGTTGACCCGACACCGCATGGATGCTCCAACGGTTAGAATTCCAACAGGTGTCACATCTAATGTCATTGAAGCCACCATTGATGCCACCATTGAAGAGAGAGAGTTAAAGCCTCAACGCCTCATTCATGACTCTTCATATTCTTGCCGTTAGCTCAGCTCCCCAAGGATGTCTCTTCATGTTGTTACCGTTAGGACCTAGCATAAACAGAACTTCCCTCAGCTGAGCAGGACACACTGTACTTTCTATACTGAGACAAAGGCAATACAACTATTGTTACTCTCTTATTCGTTACTCTTATATTATATTTCCGGTAACATTATTACCGTCACAGGTTAAATAGCATTTAGTACAAAGAAATGTTGATCTTCGATTATGATTTTTTTAAAAAAAAATAAAAAATAAACATAAAAATATAGCCCTTCAACCTACTTTTTATATTAAAAAAAATTAAAATGTCTTTGTATTTAACGACATTTCAACGATTTTGTTGACGGAAGACTAAAAATAATCATACCATAATAATACTAGAACCAAATGAGAATGTTTTAATAAAGAATGACTAAAAATAAACGGCTACCAATAAATCTATAACAAAAAAAAATGGAATTAACTCTATATACTAACATAGTAACTAAGATCAATTGATAAACAAGTTAATAATATAACTTTCAATTCTATATGACTTCCCATAGACTATAGTTTATTTTTATTGAATGACACAAAAATTCAAATCTATAACCTTTGTCATAAGATTAACTTTAATACTAAATTGAAACATGTGTAAATTGTTTGTCAAATAATAATGACTCTAATAATATCAATAATAATGACTATAAAATGTTCTCATTACCTAACAAAAAAAAAATAATTAACATTCGATCACTTAAAAAAAAAAAAAAAAGAAGAGTACCAACAGGGCGTTTGGTTCACTATAATTTAGTTGTAGTTGAATTGTAATTCAGTGCAAACCTCAATTACATTGTTTGGTTGGAAGAAATTACAATTTCATAGAATTGCAATTTCCTCCTTTTGGTGAATTGCAATTCATGGGGTATCCCCATAAATTGCAATTCAATGAATTTGAGAAAGGAAAAAATATATGAAATGACATTATTACCCTTGATTGTTATTACTATTATTTTTATACAAGAGTATTTTAGTCTTTATACCACTTATTTCCTTCTCTATTCCAATAATTTTATTTCTCCTTACCAAACAACGTAATTTGAATTCCTACTTTATTCTCACTTTATATTTTCCCACCAAATTACAATTCATTTTTCCTCTAATCCCGTCCTCCCAACCAAACGCCCCGTAAAATCAAATCAGTCTCACAAAGAAATAAGGGGGCGTTTGGTTCAGGTTATATAAGATAACCAAGGGAATGTGACATTCCAAAGCTCACATTCCGGTGTTTGGTTCATATTATCTCAGGGAATCTAACATTCCCAAGGAATGTCACATTCCCTCCACATAGGATTTTGAAGGGAATCACAATCTTAGGTAATCTAAGATAACCTTGGTTATGTTAGTTATATATATATATATATATATATATATATATATATATATATATATATATTTTTTTTTTTTTTTTTTTTTTATTATGTTATGTTAGGGATATATGATACCGTTATCTTATTTATTTATTTTAATTTTTAAATTTATTAAAATATATGAAAATATGTTAAGGATATTATAGTGTGTATAAAAGATAACCCTAAACCAAACATCATTATATTAAATACCCCAATTTTAACCAAATACAGGAATCTAACATTCTCAGTAATCTAACATTCCCAGCAATCTAACATTCCCTAAGGTAATCTTACATTCCGTGAACCAAACTACCCCTTAGTGTTCTTGCGTATTTGTTGCTCTGCCTCTGCGGCGTGGGAGAATGGGAACTGGGGCTTTTTTGTTGGGGGAAAGAAAGTAAGCAATACAGTCTCCAGATGTTATAGTGACAGCCCATACATGACAGACCAATTAAATCAGCCAACATATCTAGAAAGTCTTGCGTGTCAAGACCATAGAAAGACTTTGTGGAAAGAGTATTAATTAGTCTTGTAAATTTAAAGGTGTTTGATTATTTTGATTTCCAAGTTTTAACCGCAGTGGAAAGTATTGGCCATTAACTCAACTCTGGTTAATAGTTAACTTAACCCTGGTTAAACCCGTTGTTTCAGCAGTTTATATAACGCTGATTATCACCGCCCTGAAACGCAGACATCCATAGCCATATTAACCAAGAATAGAAAATGATGATCGGAGAGAGAGATCATAGTTATCTTGCGGCGCAAGTTACCAATTGGTACTCAGGTGATCAGACGGCTAGTATTCACTTTTCTTCGAGCCCCAGAGACAATGCCGGCGAGGAGTTCTCGCCGTCTCTTCAAAACGACGCTGCTTTGAAGGCTTTCCAGCGTTACCTGCCGTCGAATAGTAGCGACGGCGACTGTGACGGCGGCAAGGACGACGGTGAGTTCCCCGCCGACGCGTATTCTTGCGATCAGTTCCGTATGTATGAGTTTAAAGTGAGGAAATGCGCACGTGGGAGGTCACATGACTGGACGGAGTGTCCCTTTGCCCATCCCGGAGAAAAGGCTCGCCGGAGGGACCCGCGCGCGTGTCACTACTCCGGCACGGCGTGTCCGGATTTCCGGAAGGGGAACTGCCGGAAAGGCGACGCGTGTGAGTTCGCGCACGGCGTGTTTGAGTGCTGGCTACACCCGGCGCGTTACCGCACGCAGCCGTGTAAAGATGGGCTCAACTGCAAGCGACGCGTGTGCTTCTTCGCCCACTCGCCGGAACAGCTCCGAGTTCTGAGCCCCCGGTACGACGGGTCGCCGCAAAGGTACGGTGGTTTCGACACCTCATCATCATGTGCCAAAACTATCCATTTCGTTTCGTCCCCCGAGTCAGGATCCCCGCCGTCCGAGTCTCCACCCCTGTCTCCGATGACCACCGCCAACTCAGTCAACTCGCTCAGCCGCTCTCTAGGCTCCAACTACGTCAACGAGATGGTGGCCTCTCTGCGTCAGCTCCAACTCAACAAGGTGAAATCCATGCCTTCTTCCTGGACCGTGCAAATTGGTTCACCTGTTCACGGGTCTCCGGTCCTACCCGTGACCCGACCCGGATTCCTCAGCTTGCCTTCCACTCCAACCCAGTGTATCCCCCGGTCTCACTTTGATCTCTGGGAAGAGAGCTTGCGTGAAGAAGAAGATGAAATTCCCATGGAAAGAGTCGAGTCAGGGCGAGGCTTAAGAGCCAGAATGTTCCAGAAATTAAGCCAGGAAAATCCTCTAGACGGGTACCCGAACCCGTCTGATGCTCCAAACCCGGATGTCGGATGGGTCTCCGATCTTATCAACTAAAACGATTTTCTTGACTCTTGAGAATGGGTAAATACTATTTTATTTATTACAAAAAAAAAACTGAATTTTAATTTCAATCCCAAAAAAAAAAAAATTGTAAAGATGGGAAGAGCTGTGATGAACGACTGTAAATAAGGAAGAAGAAAGACGGCGCGTCGAGGAGGAAGAAGAGAAGACTGGATTAATTATTCCCTTTTTTGGTAAGTTTAAGGTTGTCACTAATCATCATCGTTATAAGTTAGAGTTTATTTTAATGTTGTTATAAATCTCGTTTACTGTGTCTTTAATCTTTATGTTTGTCGAGTCTGCTACTAATTAAATCTAATTCCAGTAATGGGTGTAGATATTATCATGATCTGTGTATGCATGCTAGCTCTCTGCAATTCAAAATGATGAATGTAATGAATAATATTACTTCATGTTGTATAATATCATGTATTTTATAAAATTATATTTTATATTTTGTATTTTTTTTTTGTTTTAAAATTTATTATTAAAAAAAAAAAAAAAAAAAAAGGAGATTGTAAGTTGAGATCTGGAGCAAATCCTTATTTATTGGAAACTGAAGGAGATGTGCATAGGTTAGTGGTGATGATTGTCTGAAGCTGAGAGACAGTTGGAAGATAAGTAGCAGAGGAGCAGAGGGATGTGGAAGTCAGATGTTTTGTTTGATGGGGCTAGTTTGGGGAATTCAGTGTTGAGTTGTACGTGGGCCTTGGGCCTGGAATATCGCAGAACTTTCTAGTTATCAGGCTTAAATGCTTTGTGTCCATTCACGTGGAGGAGTGGGGCACACGGGATAATGAAATTTTTTTTTTTTCTTTCATTTCTGGTACTGAAATGCTTTTACCATTTACAGGCGGTTTTGTTGTATGTCATTTTTTGAATTTTCGATATATCTAAAAAAAATTAAAATTATTTTAAAAAATACTTATAATCAATCTTGACTATATTATCTTGCATTTGTAAATTTAGAATTACCTATTTAACTCGCACGGGCTTAGCTTAATGATTTAGTGTGTAGTATTTGGGAGAAGAGACCAAGGTTTGAACTTCGGCGGCGACAGTGCGGGAATTATGTCCAAAGTGGGCAGATTCCTTGTGCATATCAGCATTTGGCCCTGTCTGCTGAACCATTGAGTCACCGTGATTTATAACTTTTCACAATGCTCTGTCGGGTCGAAGTGTGGGGGGGGGGGGGGAGGGGGGGCCTTGAGTTGGGAAATCAACCTTTGGGAGAAGAATTACCTATTTAAATACGCAAATTCAACCTTCAATTATCTATGCATGAACAATTTCAATATAATCCTACCTTAATATACTTTAATGTACTTATTTTAAAAAAAAAAAAAAAGCATCCCAAAACTAGTATTGTATAGAAAACTTAAATTAAAAATATCTTCTTAAATTTTTATTCAAGAATATATTTTTTGAATTCCCCAAACTCTCTTAGAATAAGCTTTAACAGTTTTGTTGGTGTCAATTTTTATCACCAACAAGGAGAAAGGAAGAGGGGGACAAAAAACATGTAAAACAAAACAAAACAAAACAAAATAAAAATGGTATTAACGTATCTAGTGCTCACGCACCAAAATGATTTTTTTTCGTGTAGTCTAGACAAAACCTTCATATTTACAAATTCTTTTTTTTTTTTTGGGATAAGGGTCAAATAGACCCTTGAACTAGTGATGAAAGTGCAATTAGCCCCCTTAACTACAAAAAGCTTCAATTAGGCACTCGAACTTGATAAAAAGAAGCAATTAAACTTTTTTACAGGTTACCCATCAGGTAATAGGTTAAAATTAATTGACTTGGCATCAATTTAAATAATTAAATAAATTTTTTTTAAATTATTAGCTGCCATGGCAACGTTGTCTTCTTCCAAGCAGCCATTAATGGCGTCTAGAAGAAGACAAATTAAAATATATACAAAAAAAAAAAAAAAAAAACCACTGTCGCCAAAGAGGGTGGTTTTGGGCGCGGTGTCCTCCCCACCGATCACCACCGCTAGACTCATATCATCGACCATGAACTCTGATCTGTCAAACGTCAAAGGATATTGGGTTTGATTGTTTGAAGAATACTGCTCTCTAGCTGGGAGAAAGTTGATAGCATAATATGACATTATGAATACTATATACACACACTTATATATACAACTATACAAGCGAATTTTGTCTTCTTCCAGATTGCCAGGCAACCATTAATGGCGTCTGGAAGAAGACAATTTATTTTTTTAAATACACGCTGCCATGGCAGCCATTAGCAGCTCAACCGTCTTCTTCTAGTCCGGAAGAAGGTGATGCGTCTTCTTCCAAACTGGAAGAAGACACCGCTATTCGTGTAGGTCGCGAAGCGCATGCGGAATGGGCACGGAGAAAAAGAAGTGTAGAGGAGAAGCAGGTTGATCCCATGCTGCTAGACACAATGCCTCTAGAACGAGAGTGAAGAAAGAAGACTCAACCTAGTGCAAAGCTTAAGGTTGGAGGAAGAAGAGTCGACGAATTGAGTTTTGACAGATCTATTTTTTTTGAAAAGATTGGCTGCTATGGCAGCCAAAAGTTAAACAAAAAAATTATTTAATTATTTAAATATATTACACATCAGCATTTAGGATATATATGTGGATGCCAAATTAATTAATTTCAACTCATTACTTGATAGTAACCTGTAAAAAGGTTTAATTGCTTCTTTTTATTAAGTTCAAGTGCCTAATTGAAGCTTTTTGTAGTTAAGGAGGCTAATTGCACTTTCATCAATAGTTCAAGGGTCTATTTGACCCTTATCCCTTTTTTTTTCCCCTCTTCCACCTCACAAAAAATAAAAATTACAAAAAACTCCTAATTCCCTTAAATGACTATTGGGATACTCTAACCGACTATTCTCTCTCTCTCTCTCTCTCTCTCTCTCTCTCAAACTCTCCTCTAACATCTACCTCACTCTTCACGGGAGAAGGTGACCTCTTGATTGCCTTCATCAAAAACATATTAACGACCACAGGAGCATTGTCCGCTAGCTAAATTTTTGTGGGAACCAAGTGGCCGGCTATTACATATTAATAATCAATTTCTAGACTTTGATACACAAAATAACATCTTGATGAGGTTCATTATAAATTTTAAAAATTCAAGGCATAATTGATTTATATTATTTTTAAAAACTGAACCAAAATAAAAATTTTCTAACGTTCAATTAAATTAAAAATAAAAATTTTATAATTTCAAATCATCTATTAGAAAATTAAAAAATTCTTTAAAACATGATACATTATTTATTTTTATTTTTTTAAACGTATGTTTAAATAGACATTAAGTCTCAATAAATTTTTAGTTAAAAATTAATATTTTAACGCATTCTATTTATTGATAATAGTTATTGTATGGACCGTGGTCGAAAAAAAAAAACATAAATTGGGCATAGTGGTTTGTGACAATCTAAACTTTCAAATTTTAGACAAGAATGATTATGATTGTCACACATATAAGCTATTTTATTAACAAATTATCAAATATCTGAGCCGCCACTCCTACGTGTGCTTAATGTAGGGTAGATAAACATTGGCAAATTATGTTGTGGACCGTGTCCATTTTGTAAGGTAGATTCAAGTTATATTAACACTTTTTGAACTCTATATTCACAATATTAGAATTGAATATTTACAATTTTAAATTTTAATACACAAAATTACAGAATATTTACAATTTTTGAACTCTATTCACAATTTTATAACTCTATATTTACAGTTACAGAACTGAATATTTACTCACAGAGTTGTTTTCAATAATTTTATTTTTTAAAAAATCATTAATTGTGAATACTCAATTCTAAAATTATGAATATAATCTGAATCCACCTTGCAAGATGAACCTTATCCATGACACAACTATCCTTTCCAACTGTCTGAGAAAAGCCTGGTGTTGGCCCACTATCTATATCACACAGGCCTTTCCATAGAGTGCAATTTTTAATGGGCTAAACTCGAGGCCCAAATAGATTTATTTTTAAAATAGGCAATCAAACAAGCCCAATTATTAGTTATTTACTTATATGATCATAGTTCGATTCAAACCGAACCGTCTAGGAATAAAATCGAAATCGGAATTGTATAAATGGTGTCGATTTCAATTTTATAATATCATAAACCGGAACTGCTGGTTCCTGTTTGAAACTGGACGGTTCGAATTCCAAATTGACATTTTTTTAATTTTTGACTTTTATTTTATTATAATTTAAATAACAATATTTGATTAAAGTTTAACTATTATTTGATTAAAATTTAAACTTTAAATAATAATTTAAAGTTTAACTATAATATTTTTTTTTTTTTAGTTTAACTTTAAAATTTAAATATTTGATATAATCATTTAATAAAAACTAGAATGAAAAAATTTGAAAGAAAATAATTTTTAAATTTGAATTATTTTAAAAGATCCTAGTTCGAATAACAGATGGTTCAAGCTGGAACTGCCGGTTTCGGTTTTACATTTTTCGGAATTGGAACAAACCGTGGTCATTTAAGATAAAAATTTGATTCAATAATGATTTATTTTTATTTTTAAAGAATTTGCAACATGTGCTTTTTATATTATGATTTGGTGTATATATCAAAATAAAGTTATATAGATATTGGTGGAAAAATGGTTCTACTAGTAGCATTCACTGGTTAGCTTGTGATAAAGCTCTTTTAGGTACACAGGGATGGGGCTTCTTGACAACCCCAACTGCTTTAGTGACCCGAATTTTCGTATTTTCTTAAAAATGCGGTCCTGGATGCTAAGTCCAACCCCAGCTACTGTGACAGAGAATTGTCAATGACAAAGACACTTGTGTATGGGGCAATGGCTGGCATGTGAGATGGACCTGATGATTAAGACGGAACCAATTTTGGAGCTTAGAGGGTTCAGAGACTGATCTAGAGAGCCATCGTGCATCCAGTCCAAACAATTTACTAATGCTGCTAACAGTTCCTTCTCACACAGTCCACCATTATTACTGGAAAAATTCGACAATGCATTCATGCTTCTTGTGTTTGGGGAGGATTTCATTTCGTCTACCCACCCGAACAAGATAAACAACCATGACCATGAAAGGCAGCACTAATTATCAGGAGGAACTCACCCTGATTTTGGTTTGAGGTTTTGTTTGTCTTAGGATCAATGGGTTGATGCGATGAAAAGGTTGCTAATTGTTAGTTTGTTAGGTATAGAAATGTTTTGGTTCAGTGGTTATGAGTTTTTTTGTTTAGTTTCACCCTGATTTTTGGTTTGAAATTTTGTTTGTCTGTTAATAGGATCAATGGGTTGGTGTGATGATGAAAAGGTTGCTAATTGTTAGTTTAGAGAAATGTTTTGGTTTACATATAGTGCCAAGTATGGAACCTAATTGATTCGGTCTCACAGGATTAGGACAATGAAATTTTTAGTGATCATTTTTAGGAAGAAGACATCAATCTTATTCTAAAGACCCTTATCTTCCCGACTTTTGAAGATTCGCGGTATTGAAAAGGCCTATTAAAAGGATGCTATTTTGTTGGGAGTGGTTATAGGTCCATGGTTGGTGAACTTCAATCTGCCATCAATCTCACATGTTGTACGAAAGTTTGGCAATTAAGAATGCAATGGTGGCCAATGAAATTTCCTTTGGAGAGCCGCCTGAGGAACATCTTACCCACTACATTGCAGCTTTTCTTTGAGAAGAAGTAGAAGTGGAACCAAGGTGCCCTATTTGTATGGAGAAAGAGGAATCAATAGCTCATGTTTTAGGAACCTGCCGACATGCAAAAACAGTGTGGATTACCGGATTTGCAGCATCATTTTACATTATTAGCTGAGTGGTTGGAAAATCAGTTTTGCATGGGTGATACACAGCTGGTGGAGGTGGCTACGGCAGTCATGCATGGTGTGTGGAACAAGGCGGGCAGTTTTTCGAAAGCTACATTATTTTGAGGCCTCAGTTTGTTGCCACGAAAGCTCTTAGGGAATTGTAGCTCTAGCTAGCAGACGTACAGCGAACGAGAAACTAACCCAGTAGCGGCTACATCCTCAACGGTCCAAGAATGTTGTGGATGCGTCTGTGACTGTCCTGCCTACTACCGGCGAAGCAACTTTTGGCTTTTGTGTGTTGGACTGTACGGTGCAACCCTGGCCTGAGCCTAGCATGGCTGAAGCCTTACCGTGCAAGGAGGCGCTATCTTGGATTAAGGGCAAGAGGCTAGCTAACGTGAGTGTTGAGATCACTATAAGAAAAACCCTTTTTAGCGACAAAAAATTAGTGACGGGTAGAAAAACCCCTCACTAAATGTATTATTTACATAGCTTTTATGAGGGTTAAAAATTACTCTCATTAAAAATTTATGAATTGGTGACGAAAATTTAATTATATATTTATTTAAAAAATTTACTCTCACTATTGATACAATAAATGTTGTTACTGTCACTATTGACATCTACAAATTATTTCATTCCCACAAAAATTTTGTTTGTGGGCGCCCTCTTGTTATAGCCACACCCTCTAAACCCTCTCACTCTCTCAGATCTTACTCCACCACCACGCAACCATCACCTCCACTGCCACAGCGGCCGCTGATTGCTTCAGGCGCCTATCCGACGCCACTGTCGACGTTGCGTTGCCACTGCCTCCCCTACGAAGACACCACAGCCAACGTCCCACCTGCCTGAAGAACGACGACGACGCACTTAACCCTTACGACTACAAGTCTCCTTCCCTGAGTGAGCCACAACTTTAATTGAGCCCTAATTTGTTGGAATTCGAAGCTGGTTCGACTGAGGCTTGTGTTTATTTCTGGTTTTGCGGGTTATTTTCCCCATTTTTGGGTTCTCATTGAGCGTATTGGGATTCTTCGATTGAGGTATGATTTGTTGGAAATCAATACATGATAAAGATTTTTTCTTTTCTTCATTCTGTTATATGCTTACGTTTTTGTGTAATTCGAAAATGTTGCAGTGAAGGTGGGGATTCCAGAGTTCTTGACTTTTCTTCGCTGTTTTTCTTTTCTTTCTGAGCCAGCTTTGCAGCTAGGGTAACTAAATTTACTTACAGTTGGTAGGACATTATAATCCCTCGTAGAATTCAATTGGTTCCTCTTTCAAAGTCTTATTATTTCACTTACAAGAATGCTTTTCAAATTGGAAGTTCTACAAATATCTTTTGATTATCAGTAGTTGTCCTTGCTGCTATGAATTTCATATTGCCTATATGCCTTGGGAGTTCTACAAGAATGCATTTCAAATTGGGATTCCCTACTGCCTTATTTCTCTTTGCAAAGCAGACAAATAGTAGAACTTTGTTTTAATTTCCATCTTCTTAATAAAAATCTTCTGTTATATCTGAAACTTTAAAATACAGAGTAGTTGCTCTATTGAATGTCACAATTCATTGAACTGAATTGCAAGTATTTAATGGATAATATATTATATTTACTTGATTGAACAATTATATCCATGTCACAATTCATAGTCCTGCCTGCTTATCAGATTTGCTGTATGTTCAGGTCTCTACTTTTTTTTTTTTCTTCAGCTTTGTTCTGAAGAAAGACTCTTTACTCTATGAAAGGCATGCCAGGTAACTCTTTCATCATCCTATCTATAGTCTTAAATATTTTTCGTTTTGTTAATGTTATAATGAAAGATGAAATTGTATACTCCTTGCATAGTGTAGGTATATGTTGAAAAGTAGTTGGATGAATTGTATAAGTAACCGCAATGTAGAGCATTTAGCATATTGGCATGGTAGAATGGACTATAGAGATTGTTCAGGTGCAGTTTCTATTGTTCAAAATTATTTAAATTGAAGCTGGCAAAGCCAATTGCATATTCAGGTGAACTTTTATGATGATATGCTGGAAATTGTGTTTATTTCTATATTCTTCTCCTGCTTCTAGCAAGAATTATATCCTAGTGGTTTTGAGTGTTTCTTTGTCTTGGAGACCTTTGTTGTTTCCGCTTGCGTTAGATGGCTAACTGGCTTTTGGTAACTTAGACTTCTACAGGATGTTTCTTTATGTAAGAAATCAACAAATTCAGTGCCTTGGATATCAATGACCTTTCCTTTCAAGCTTTTATTGGGCCCTATAAGTTAGGTGGTATTTGGCTGCTTGCTTTCTATCAAGTATGCAGAGCTTCCTGTAGAATGAGCAATTGATCTCTCCCAGTACTCATACCACCACTGGGCCCAATTCTTTTTGAAAAGTGATTACAGATGGCCTTGATGTGTATCACTGCATATATAAATTGTCAGTCATTCATAAATGTCCATAACTCTTAGTGGACTTTGAGCTTTGAGTGGAGACATTGGGTAAACTTTAGCTCTATGCTGTGCTTGATTGCACTCAAAAATAAGGTCGGCCAACCAACGGGATATAAACCTGACAAATATACAATCCCTTAAGTGTAAAACTTTAAGTCATTTATCTCGTGTCACCACAAGTTGTGCACAAGGAGCCAAAGTGGCAAGTTTACTATGCTCTGGATATGGTATGGTCTTTAATAGGTGGCACTGGTTTAAGGTGGGAGTGGAAAAGTGGTTGACAGCAAAGCTGATGATAGGATTTTCATCTATTATAAAGATCATGGAGGTCCTGGAGTTCTTGGTCAGTTGTGTGTGTGTATATATATATATATATATATATATATATATGAACAATCTTTGATGTTGCCCATTATCATAGAAATTAAAAGTATTTACCAGAGGAGCTGATCGAACTGTTCTTGTTTCAGGGATGCCCAATTTGCCTCATCTTTATGCCAATGATTTCATTCAAGTGTTGAAGAAAAAGCATTCTGCAGGCACCTACAAAGAGATGGTAACCATCTCCATTGATTCTCTTTCCTTCTTTCAACTTTGATTGCATCTATATTTTACTCATAGAACACTTTTGTGCATGCTATGCAGAACAGAGACCTTTAGTGATTTTTGCTTTGAGGTCATAATTTAACAAATAATGTTTTCTTATGTGAGATTTAATATATTCAACCAATTTCAGCAGTACACTAGGACCTTTTTGATTGTCAAATGCTAAAACTAGCTACTTTGATCTTGTGTGCAGTGAAATAGTCTCTCTCTTCTCGTCCATATATATGCCGAAGTGGAAGGAGTTATTCTAAAAAAAGACTTGACGTACTCGCCATACTTTGATGGATGGTGTATTTGCTATCCTTCCTCTAAAGCTGTGTGAAGATGCGATTATTTTTAGCATCTCTAATGTATAGCTAAGAATTTGGTGCATTTAGAGAACTGCTTCTCCAATTCCATCTTGTTGTGTTGGTTGAATTGTGAGTCTTTAGTATTTACAAAGTTAGTATGAAACATTTCATTTTGGTAGTGATAAATGAAGTCTTTTAATATATTGATTGAGTTTACTTTGATTTCATTATGATAAAAAATTTAATTTTTTTTATCAACACAATATCTATAGTTACAACGTAACATAATATCGATTAGTGAGGAAAAAATGTATTACAAAATTTAATATTTAATAAGTAACAAAATATATATATATATATATATATATATATATATATATATAAAATTAGAAAAATAATATTTGACACAAATTTATAATTTTTAGTGACGGGATTTTTCATCATTACAAGTATATAATGAGAGGAAATTATGGTAGTGAATAGTTGTATTAGTGACGGGATTCTTTGTCACAAAAGGAATGTTTTAGTGACGGTGAATATACTATCACTATATGTGTATTAATGATGGTATCATATCCTGTCACTATTTGTTTTTAACTTCGGAAGAAATAATGACGGGTGGCGACGGTAAATTTCCCGTCATTAAAAGTCTTTTATGATGGTTTTTGATGTTTTAGTGACGGTTTTACCTCTCACTAATGGACAATTTTCTTGTAGTGGATGGATTGCCAAGTGGCCTGGTTGTCATTTTAAAGAAAATGCTACATGTATTTTCATTTTATACTTCTAATGTATTCTGACACACAAAATATTGATGTAGACACTTATATTAGAATACACATGAAAAAAATAACTTAACAGAATGCGTCACATCACAGAATAAAATTTAAGAAATAAGAGTAAAGATTACATACATAGAACTCGGAATTTAATACTCCGTTCATATCTAGGCATCGTCTTAAATGATTGCCTCGGTCTAGCTAGGTCTATCATATCGAGTCTATTTCTTTTTCTTTTCTTTTGTTAGGTCTGAGAACCTAATTGCTCATTGTTTAACTTCGTTAGCTCATGGTCAGTCGAGTCGGTCTCTGGGATACGGCTCCTCGGATATTATGTGTCATCTTTTCCGGCATTAATCTACTGCTTTGCTTTCCTTCAAAAAAAAAAATTTATTTTGTAATTTTTTGTTAAAGTAGTAATAATGTCATTGTTATACCATAGATCAGAGTTCATATTACATTGTGAATCTTAATACAAAAATTCTATACATTCAGTTAACACATTGTGTAGCTATAGTTAACAGTTTTTGTACATGTAAACAAATAACTTGATAACTGTTGATACATAATATGATAGCTACAGGTACATAAACTATTAACTGCAAATACAGAATCCAACTTGATAATTGTTAACACATAATATGATAGCTACAGGTACAAAAACTATCAACTACAGGTACAAAATGTGTCAACTATAGATACAAACTTTAAAGGTTATTTTTGGACCAGGGTCTACAATACAAGATAGATCCTGGTCCATGGTATAATTTGTTGTAATAATGTATGTAATAATTTATTCATTATGGGGCAAATTATGTCGTGCAACTGTGTGCACCATTACTGTTTTATGTTCATAATTACTGAACTATATATTCATAATTATAAAATTATATATTCATAATTTTTGAACTTCATATTCATAATTTTTTAATTATATATTCACAATTACAGAACTCTATGTTCATAAGTTTCAATGTTCATATTTCCAATTGTTGAACCCTGTATTCACAAATCACAGAACTATATATTCATAATTTGATAACTATACAGTTTAAAAATTATGAATCTACAGTACAGAAATTATGAATCTGCAGTATAGAAATTATGAATCTACTGTATAGAAATTATGAATATACTGTATTTAAATTATGAATTTACGATTTAAAAATTATGAATCTACAATATAGATTTTATGAATCTACAGTATAGAATTTATGAATTTATAGTATAGAAATATGAATTCAATTTTGTGTGCACCTTGCATGATCATGAATAAAGTTCATTACAAATTATTTTAAAACTTATTCGGTGGTCAAAATATGTGAGGAATGGGCCTTAGAGTTCAAATCTAATTCGGCCCTATGATTAATTAGGTCTAAAGGATGGTTTGAACTTTGAACCATGGGGTAAGGTTTCGGGGACTTATTTAAAAAGTGAAGAGAGTTAGAGGTGCAAAGTGAAAAAAAATGATCGAAATTAAGGAGGTCAAAGTGCAAAAATTGAAAGGGGTTGGGTGTAAATAAGTACATGGTCTCAAGTACAATGTTCAAATTATGTATTTTTAGTATTGAAATTGTGAACTTCTGAAATATAAATTGTGTTTCTAAGTCAAAACACGTAAATACAATACAGGATCATCAAATCCTAATTTGTTAATATTGTGTGACTACGATATTTGAAAGGAACTTGTGAATACAAAACAAGGTAATCAATTACATATATATTAACATTTTGTGTTCGTAGTGTACAAATTGTGAATTTTTAAAAGGTAAATTGTGAACATATAACATTGTACTTATTTTAAGTCTTTTTTTTTTTTTGTGTCTAGTTTTCATTTCTCTCTTTCTTTTTTTTTTTTTTGTTCAAAATATTTTTTTTTTAAATAATTTATTTTTCAAATTAGAGAAACGTACAAATAAATGTATTATTTATTTATTTAAAAAACAGAAAACTTCTCAAATTAATAAATACTCCGTATATAAAATTTTAATGCTGGGTGACTATTCCACATGAGCAAAAGGTTAAGTGGTCCAAAAGTTGATAGCAAAAGGGGGGCATGTTGACATTACTGTACTTTCCTCATTGACTGAGTTGCCCTACACAACTGGATAATGACATATATATATATATATATATATATATATATATATATATATATATATATTGAAAACTTTCAATGGAAGAAAAAAAAAGGCCTATGGACAAAGTCAAGCTCACTTGCCTCTCATCTTCCCTCTTAAACTTATCTATTATATCAACAATTAATCTTAATTATTATGTATAAAATTAAAATTAAATATACATCAACAATTAAAACAAAATGAATTAAGAGTCGTATTTCATCCTAGCCATAGTAAAGTACGGGACGTCAGGGCTGAATATGACCTATTACAAGCATAGGTGTACATATATATACATTTGAGAAATTTGTAGGTGACTTAGACATCTGAATAAGAATATGTGAGACCCTCAAGATTGAGGTGCAACCCTTTAGTTAAACCCTCAACTATGTTATTATTTTCTTATTAGATTAGATGACTAATCTCAATATTAATTAATTTAAGAAAAGAGAAATAGATCCACTCAACCCCCACCCCCACCCCCAAACAAAAACCATGACTCGATGACCCTATCCTTCTTTAAATCCATAAAGACCCAGAGAGCCCATTGGCTTTGAGTTGTTTCTCATCAACACAATTGATCAGCTGAAAGTAACAGGAGAGAGTTTGTTAGTTGCTTCAATTTTGTCTTGAATTGAAGCAGGCGATATGGGAAGAGCTCCTTGCTGTGACAAAACCAAAGTTAAGAGAGGGCCATGGTCCCCTGAAGAAGACACCACTCTCAAGTCCTATGTTCAGAAACATGGCACTGGTGGCAACTGGATTGCTCTCCCCCAAAAAGCTGGTCGATCTCTTTTCATATATTTCCTCACCATTTGTTTCTTTTTACTTTCCTGTTTCCAATCTGATCCCCTCTTGCTTCAATTCCTTCCAGGCCTAAAGCGTTGCGGCAAGAGTTGCCGCCTGAGATGGCTCAATTATCTCAGACCAGACATCAAGCACGGCGGTTTTACACACGAAGAAGATCAAATCATCCTCACACTCTACACCAACATAGGAAGCAGGCCAGTCTCAATTTTTTGCCTAATCTATCTCTCCCATATTTACTAATAATTGAATAGAAATGCTGATTTAAATTTGAATTTTGGGTTTTTTTTTGTGGGTACTAGGTGGTCTGTCATAGCATCGCATCTCCCAGGTAGAACCGACAATGATGTCAAGAACTACTGGAACACCAAGCTGAAGAAGAAACTCGCCGCCGCCACAAACAATAATCCCGACGTTTTCCCCCAAACTGTCGCCACCAATTTCAATAACCCGACAACCTATTACGGCGTCCAAGAAATGGTCGGATCGTCGCAATCGCTTCACTTCCCCCTGCCAAACCTCATGGAAGTTCAAGAAAACTGCACTGCAAATAATGTCTCGTCTTATAATCCAGAAGTTTCGGCAGGCTATTCAACTTCATTTGCTTATAATAATAATAATGAGAAGAGGTTTGGGACATCATGGTTGGGCAATGGAGGAATTGAGGAAGATGTTTTCCGCATGGATATGATGATGAGCTCTTCTACTAGCCTGCTATCGTCATCCTCATCACCTTCCTCCTCGCCATCTTGCTTTGATCATCTTATGATGAATTATGGGTTTGATTTTCAAGACAACTTTACACCACCCAACATCCTTCATAATAATTTCAGTACTAATCACCCTTCCAATGGCTTTGATCAATATTAGCAATTTGGTACATCTCATCTGTACGGAGGAGGAGGAGTAACACTCTTGGAAAAACTATCTGATCTGATGAATGGGTCCCACTTAGACTCAGGGGCTCAGGGCTAAAGAATAGTTTATGCTATACATAATCTTTGTGACGTTTAGGAAATTACTAGTATTTTTATTAGGTTTATAAGTTTATATTATTGATGGGTTTTAGATAGAAAATTATGGTCAATGCACTTAATTATGTAATATGTATGTACATATATATGTTTCTAATTGATGACATGATGGCTTACTTAAATGTTGGATTTGGATTCAACGCCAAAGTTGATTTTTCTTCCCTCTTTTTTAAGGTTAAAATTATTGCCATCATTTGTCTTAAACTAACTATATTCTTAATCAAAGCTTACTTTTACACGGATTGGAGTATTATATATAATTAATTAATTAAGGATATCACTTTAAAATTAATTCATGTAACTAGTCAATATAGAAGGTCCGAAATGTTTAAATTAAACTCGATTCATTAATTAGATGTTGATAAGTGGACAAGTAAAATCAAAAATTTCTCCAAAGATTACCTACCATGCCCATATTTAAGACTTCAATCAATTTTTTATCTTGAGAGCTTGTGAGTTTTATTTCTTTTTCTTTTGTTGGACTGACCACATGTAATGGATTTCCTATTTATGTCGAGTAAGACCTCAAGGGTTTAAGATAGTTGCATTTTCAAAACTCAAATCTGAAACCTCCATATCATTCACTACACTCCACTTATTACAGAGTATATTTTAAATATGTAACTTACAACTAAAATATCTATCAAAAGCTAACATATACAACTATAATTTGTAAGTTTTCTTTTTTCAAACTTGTTTTACTGAAATTATATTTCTTTGTAATAACATGTAACCTACCACTAAAGTATACTTCAAAAGGAGCTAACGTATTCAAATATGATGAATACGAAATTGTGAGCAGATGAATATATATGGATGTAATCGAATCTGAATTGAATGAACTAACGTAACACATGAAATGAATGTATGGTTGTGTAGTGATGAGAGGTCCATGAATGCATGCAATAGCGCTAGCTGCAATGTAATGTCAGCAAAGGAGGTTGTTTACTTCAGACTGGTCAGTGGTCACGAAACTTGCATGGAATGGCCAATTCAAACCTTCAGAAATTTCACGAGTCCCCACCTGACATTTTTCACCCCCCACCCTACTCTCATGAATTAATTTAATTACATTCACATATACATACATACATACATATATTAATATTATATTTACTCACACTACGTAGAAAAGATTCCATACGTATTTATTAAAATAATATACAATATATGTGGCATTTTTGTCACTTTATTTTTCTCAACTTGATTGTTATATATATATATATATATATATATATATATATATATATATATATATATATATATATAATCAATGTGATGAGAAAACTATTGTCGAGAGATTATTATATTCCAATAATTTACTTTGATTGAAATATTGATACCCTTTCCATTTAAGGTAGGAAACATGAGAGCAAGAGGCAAAATTTCTGTAAGGTCGGGGTGTGAGGGCTCAAGCGATTTATTTTGCCTTTTTCTCCCAAAAGGCAAAATTTCAGTTCTATACATGTGCAATGTGTGACGAATTGTATACATCAGGCAAGATTGTGAGCATATAGCCATTAACGTGCAATCCAACTATCAGCTTAGGCTTTTAGTTGAGATGGAACACATGCTTGCGACTACTGGTTGGAATCCACCATACACGTGAGGGGCACATGCTTCAATTAAGATGATTTAGTATTACAAAAATAAAAATACATGAAAAAATTAATAAATAATATCATATATACATCTAGTGTAACCCACGTCTTAACTTCACCATAAGTGTAAGTTTGACCATTGATGACTTGGCCTAGCTCAAGTCAGCAATCTTCAAGTGTTTGCCCGATTTACAGATATGACTCTTTTTGGTTGACCAATGGTATCCTTTCTGTCAATAGTCAGAAGACGATTAATCCCCTGTCCTAACGATCTGCACACTAAGGGATAGGGGATTGGTCAAATGGTTTGCTCCATTCACATGAATTAAGTTAATATCAAACGAATTGAGCCCAACATTTAACTATACTACAACAGTTAATTGCATTCATGAGTATAAGTTTAACCCAGATCATATATTTTTGACCGAATTTTCATTGATATTGATATGGGATGCATCATATCACATAAAATATTTATTGAGTTATGTATGCAAAAAAATCAAATCCTAAACATGGTTTTTTTTTTCAAACCTATCAAGTATATATTAACATTTTTTTCCTAATAAAAAAATAAAATCTCTAATATTTGATAATTATATTAAATTCTGATTATTCAAATTAAATCAAGTTATAAAATTGTCTGATGATTTGGAGAGCTAATTTGTATGTGTTCTAGTCTCTACTATCTAGAAACTTCAATTCTAGTGAACTTCCTAACTTGCTTCTTATAATTAATATGGTCATCATTAAGGATTCCCCAACTTCAGTAAAATTTGTTACTAATTTTATATACTAGCTTAGTGTGAAAACGTGTTTTTCTGTATGCAATTTTTGTTAAGAAAAAAATTGTTGTAAACTTCTGTCAACATTTGTGTCGATCATCATATATGGAAAAAATTTATATTTGATGAATATATTGGCCTCGACTCAAAAATTGTGTACATAAAAAACTAAAAGTCCAAGTCAAGATCAGCTTATGAGAGTCAAGTCGGCAATGAGATCAAAAAATTAGTAGAATCACCCAATAGCCATTACAATCGTTACGATCATTACAAGCACTTCTTCACTCAGAAAATGGTAGGTTTGTGAGAAGCGTTACAAAAAGAGTCATTAAACTTTTTTTTTTGGTATAAATAGGGTGATCTTTACTTTGTAAGGACACAAATTGTCTTATTTACATACTCGATATTATATTCTCAAAAGTAGTTGTTTTGTAATGCTACTGACTCTATTACAATGTAGTATCTAAAGGCTCGAACTCACAACCTTCTAAATGAAAGTTCAACTCGAATACCATTAAACCACATAGTCATGGTCTTAAAAGTAGTTTATACCAAATAAAACAAGTGACTGTTTTATTTATAACAATTTATTTTTATAATTACCGTGGAGACAATTCACTCCCTCACTATTTATCAAAATAGACAATTTCTATACTAACATATTTTCAGAATATATTTTCTAAAAATCTCTTGGAAGCTGCTACATACATGATCAAAATGTATGATTATCATGTTTTTTTAAATGAAAACTTTTTTTTATAAGTAGTTGACTTTTCCATCCACCAAGCTTGGGGATAGAAAAATCTTATATTTTTCAACAGTGAAAACTAGCTATTTATAAAATCACGATATGTGTACTTTTATACACATAAAATTCAACACATTATACATATCTTTAAAAAGTATTTACAAATTAATTTTCAAGTTTACCCATCCCTTCTAATTAAAAAATAAAAAAAAAAAAGAACGAGAAAGAAGATAGGTTGAACATATTTCTCTTATTTAATTGGTTTTCGTCTCTAAAATTTATGAAAAAATAATTTTATTCTTAATTTTTTCAACAGAGTATTTATGTATCTTCACCCTTGTAACTAACTGAGCTGTCTATGCGGACTCATTTTTCTCTTCCAAATATTATTTTTGGATGTCCACGCGCGGTTTGACAGTACAATAAATTTTGTTTTATTCATTAATAATTATTAATAGACTGCAGGGACGGAGCCAGGAATTTTGTTGAGGGGGGGCGAAATAGGGACCGATTCAGAAATTTTTTCCAGTATAGGCGAAACATTAAAATAAAAAAAACATTTTTAAAAAAAATTACCTAAGAAATATATGTGTAAATATTATTGGATATGGATGAAAAATAAAACATATCAAAACTTTATAAAAATATTCATAACAAAATATGAAACATAATTAATTTGATAAAATAATTTGAATATGTATATATATATATATATATATATATATATATATATATATATATATGTGTGTGTGTGTGTGTGTGTGTGTGTGTGTGTGTGTGTGTGTGTGTGTGTGTGTATTAAATATTAAAAAAGCTATTAAAATCATAGGGAAGGAGTCAAAAAAAATTGTAAAATAATATTGACAACAGAAGGAATTGAACCCCTAACCTTTAATATAACTAAACACATACTCTACCAATTAATCTAACTCATTTTTTATTGACAATTAACAGTTTTTTTATACTAATACTCAAACATGTACTATATATACATATATACATACACATATTATATATGGGGTGGGGGTGGGGTGAGGGGGGGCAGCTGACCCCCCTGCCCCCCATCTGGCTCCGTCCATGTGACCCACTCACCTTTAATAAATAAATTAAATCTTTTTTTTTTGAAAACAATAAATAAATTAAATCTATTCATTAATTAAATATAAAAAGAACCAAACAAATATTAACACTTAAAAAAGGTAAAATTAGAAAAAAAAATTATAAATCTTTATGGATTTGCATTTTGCAGTATTCAATTCTTTAATTCATATTTATTTGGACGACGAGTAAGGTTAACGACTTAACGTAACATGCATCTCAACCATATCCACTACATATAATTTGATTTATTTTGTGTAATAATCCCGGATTAGCGCGGGGTTTGAGGTATTCAACTATTAAAGACCAGACAATTAATTAATTAATTAATTACTTAAATTAATCAATTTAGGTGGCTGCATTATGTTTCCCCGGCCTACATGCAGAAGAATCCAAGTAAACTCCCTTTTTTGGAGGTTTCGTGGTTTACCAACGTTGTTTCAGTCTCCTGCTTTGTCTCCTATAGTCCTATGGAGAGTTCAATTTTGGTACATGGTTGGTGAGATATATATTTGGTAGGTGGTTTGAAATTATCTGGTATCACATTTCTAATCAGACAAATGTTACTCCCTCCTACTAAAATCACTAGATAATATAATATTCATTTCATAACCTTTTTTTTTTTTTTTTTTTTTTTTTTGTAAATACTCTTAAGTCTTTACAAGTTAGTATCTATTCTATACTTTTTCAATATATCTCAATCCAAAGAATCAATGTCCACTATTGGAGTTCAATTTGTAACCACCCATTTAGAATGATAACAGATGTGTCATCACACTAGATGGTAGTTGGCTTCATTTCTTAACGTTAAATTACTATATAATATAATATTCATTTCTTAACATGACATAGATCCCAAAAAACAAACAAAAAGAGAAAAAAATCATTATTTCATGGATTATTCGTAACCCCACAATG